TGTTGTCTAAGATCCCTTCCAAATTCTACATTGCACAGTGACACAGACCTGAAAGAGAAGGCTTGGTGACTGCCTGGGTAATAAAGGACCAGACTAAGGGAGACGCTGGAGAAGATTCCAGAGTTGTAGCCAGGATGGATAACCAGAGGAGAGGAGCAGGTTTGGAGAATTCCTTAGAAAGATGACCTTAGTTTAAACATACAGGCATCTCACTTTGTTACGCTTCACAGCATTGCCTTTTTTTTTTTTTTCCCCAAACTGAAAATTTTACAAATTTCAACAAATTTACTTCCGTCACCAGCTAAAAGGCTACAGCTGGCTTTATTGCGATATTCGCTTTACTACTGTGGTCTGGAACTGAACCTGCATTATCTCCAAGGTATGCCTGTACTGAATTTAAGATGAGATTAACACATTTCAATGGGAATAACTGTCCAGGATATGATTAGAAATGGGGGTCTTGACCCTGGGAACCATTTGCAGGGCAATAATTGGAAGCCATGAGAGGATGCCACCAAATCTCCAATGTGACTCTGAGTCATCTGCTTCTGAGGTTCTATGACCCCGAATGGGATCCTCAGGGCTGGGGGGATGTAATGAAAAGGCAGGGCGGTGTGAGAAGTGCCGGAACCAATAGGAATGGAAGTTCATGGCTGCCCCTGAGAGGCGTGGGGATGAGCGCGCAGTGAGACTTGAAGGAAGTGGTCCTAGGGGACCCCGATCTCAAAGCTGCTGCCAGGGGGAAGTTCAGCTTTCAGCGTCAGTTCTAAGCCCTGGCCCTGGCAGGAAGCCCTCCACTCCCCTCCAGGTTGCCCTGGCTACCGCTGTGGATTTTCTTTCTCCACTCTTTCCCCTCTTCTCTCCCTGCAGAGGGCCTCTGGCAACCTGAGGAGTCATCACAACCCTCTTGTCACTGCCCAGTTGTCACCTATTCCTTTGCCTGACCCCTTAGGTTTAAAGATCTGTTACATTTTATGTGTGCCAAGTCAGAAACGTCGGCTTTGAAATAAAACTGCAGTAGCTCGCGTATCCTTTAGTCCTGAAAAGAGGGGCCAAGACCTAGAGACTGACGTGAAAGTTTGTGAAGTCTCAGATGAATCAACGGCCCTGGGTTCACTGGTGAGAATTCCTGGGTTTGCTGGGAAGGCCTGGGGTATTGGGCAAGCAGGGTGCAATGGAGACCAAGGTTAGAGGGAATGCAGTGTGGTAGCTGCGTGATGGTATTGGCACATAGCCACCAATTTCCAGCGCAATTGGATTCCAAAGAATTTCTGAGATCAAAATAGGCTACATCTATGGGGCACTAGGACAGTATCTATTTTATAACCTCTTCAAGGGTCTCGTGCTGATGGCTATACTGTACACAATATAACTCATTCAATCAACCCTCAGTCTGAGCAATGGGCTCATGTGCGCAGGGCCAGGACAACCAGGGGACACCAGCAGTAAGGAACATTTTATGTCTAACATCATCTGTCAGAAGACTGAATATTGGGAAGAAAAAAGGGGGAAATATGAACTGCGCCTTGGGTCATGCAAACCCAGATGGGAATTCAAGCTTGTGAGGACTCTTGAGCAAAGGTCTGCTCCTCCTCAAATGCATGTATTTCCTTTTCTTTTGAACCCTTCCTACAGGTACAATACTTTAGGTTCCAACCGCCCTGTACTCAGGATTCAGTCCCCTTCTCCCAGGTCTTGTTGTTTTTTTGAGTCCAATCCTGAACTTGTCTTTTGCTTGAAAATGTCACACTAATCCCAATTGGCCCCCTCCAGACAGTCTGCTGGTCTCGTTTCCCACATACTCTTTCACACAAGCTTTTTCCAAGCTTTATTAGTTCTTACCTGAGTCTAGTTTTGTCTGGAGACCATTTTTTATTTCAGTTCGTCCAGCCACTAGGCTAAATGACCCAGTCAAAGCTGACAAAGTCTCACGGACCTAGGCACAGGGAGTTCTGGGAGATGCTGGACATTTCTGGATAGTTCTAAAATAATCCTTTTCCTCTTGTCCCTGGCCCAGGACGAGCTACTGAGTCCACAGTCTGACATGCAGTATAGAATAGAGGACAGAGAAATCAGGTGACACTGTCTCTAACCAGTTCTACAACCTTGGTCAAATTAATGACCTCTGAGCCTCAGTTTCCTCCTTTATAAAATGATCTTGAAGGCACCCTTCAGCTTTGACAGGCTAGGAAACTTGACACCTGGCTCAGCTGGTATCAGGACAGCCTTGAAAATCTGAAGTACCTCATGTCATTTGCGGTCCAGAGGGTCTGCTTTCCAGAGCCTCGTTCTGTTCCAACAGGAGATCTAAGATCTGGTTGGATTTGAATCTGCTTCAAATTTCCAGGAGACAAGAAGCCTAATGTGTGTAATCCTTTACTGGACCCTCACCCTCCCAGAACAGAGCTGGGAACAGACTGATCTTTGAGGAACATGTGAGGAAGTACATTCTGGGGTTTCAAGGTTATGTGGAGGAGACAGGGGCTTGAGATTCCAAATAGGTAACTTCTGGGAAATACTGCGCAGAGGTTGGAGGTGACCAGGGGAGGCTGGGGAAACTACAGGCTATTAGAGGCAGAGGCTGAGCTTAGGAGTCACTGGGCTGGAGAAGGGAGGATAAATTGCTGATGGTCTCAGGACAGAGAAGGCCACTCTGGGCTAGTGCACCCTAGCTTACTGTACACATAGGCGGCACGTTGGTCCCCTGAACCCGCTGTTCCAGCCCCATAGCAGCTCCTGAAGTTTTCTTTGGCTCAGAGAAGCAGAAGCGTCCCCTGAGCCCTGGCCCCCTCTACCGCAAAGCAACTGGCTTCCATTACCCTGACAGCTCTAGAGCAACAGCCCGGCCCAGCCCAGCCCCCAGCCCCCGGCCCCAGCCTGGCTCAGTGCCGTTCCCTTTTATGGTTAAACTGAGGGAAAGCAGAGTAAAGGGGGAGCAGTTTCTGGCTAAGCAGAGGATTGTGGAGCCCCAGAATGCCTCTCCCCTCACCAGAGATCCTCGGACATCTACCCACAGTCGTATCTCTTCTTTCTCCTCCGTGACCCATTCTGCTCTGAACCCACGACCCCTTCTCTCTCCCCTCCCTAACATCCGGGGGGTGATTTCCCACTTGGCCGAAGTCCCAAGGTTTGGGTTTAGATTTCGGGAGGGTCCGCCCTATTTCCGACGCCTACCTCCGGGGGTGGAGTGGTAGCGGGGGAGGCAGGGTAGGGAGGCACTGATTAGATCACAGGCAGGATCGATCTACTTGTTGGATGTGGGGCAGAAAGACTGGTCTGAAAACATGAGCACCCAGTTGCTCCAACCCTATCTCCATTCTGCACCGCCTCTCTTGCCTGTCCCCGCTGCCCGGGAGGGGACCCTAAGGGCAGGGCCCAAAGGAAGCACCTGGCTGGGCCGGGCCGGGAAGCAAAGGGTGGGCAGCATCGCGGGGGGTGGGGGGTGGGGTGGTCAGGGCAGGAAGAGGGGTCAGAGTCTAAGGTCAGGCCAGACCTCCCGCCCGGCCGCGCTGCTGCAGCCTCGCGCTAGTGCACCCCTCGGCTCCACGGAGGCGGTCACAGAGCAATTAACTACGTCCCCCGCTACGGCGCCAGCTGCAACCAGCTGCAACCAGCTGCGTCGTGTGGCCCCTACCCGTGGCGTCCTGCGCAGCCCCACCCGAAACTCCGCCCTTTGCAGGCGAGGAGCAGGCGAGACGGTGGGACTAGAGAGGCCGATCCCGCGGAGCTGCAGGGCCGGCCGGAAGTGCCTGACCTGGGATAAAGCTGGTGCAACAAACTTCCGGCTCAGGTCTCCCACCTCGAGCTAGTGCGCAGACCGTGTCGGAGCCGAGCCCAGCTGGTCAGGTGAGAGGCACGCACGCGCGGCCCACAGCCCATCTGGTAGTGTCTGGGCCAGGGAGGCGAGGACGGGTCCTGGTCAGAGGCTCAGTCCGTTCTTTTCTCTGCAGGATGATTACAGACGTGCAGCTCGCCATTTTCGCCAACATGCTGGGCGTGTCGCTCTTCCTGCTTGTCGTTCTCTATCACTACGTGGCCGTCAACAATCCCAAGAAGCAGGAATGAAAGTGGCGCTTTCTCCGCCCCAGGTAACCGTCCGGGGCTGTAGCGCCCAGCCCCTGGAGAGGAGTGGCGAGGCCGCACCAGGGCCTGCAGGGTTCGAAACTTCAAATCGGAAAGTGTTGGGCCACGCATGATACAATCCAGAACTGGGTCCCTTTATCCGCACAGAGAAGGGAGTGCCTTGCATTGCCCTGTGCCTCGCCCTTAAACTGTTCTATGCTAGAATGGGGTGGGTTCCCTAATTCCCCTCAGTCCCCAACTTCATGTGTCTCCAGATGCCCAAGCTGGGGGTATGGGGACAAGGAGGCACTGAAACCGCTAGGAATAAAGGAACCGAGGATGCCATCCACGAATGAATATTTGAGTTTTTCACTTAAATAGTCCTCACTTTTCCAAGGTTATTTATACTTTTATTTAGGCAGATATTTTTGTGCATGAGGAAGTGTAGAGATACAGAACTCTAGTTCCGTGTCCTGGGGCAAGGGGCACTGATTTAGGGCTCGGCTACTGTAGACCCAAGTCATAGAGAAGGCGGGGGTAGGGGGCGGCTGAAGGCCTTGGAAACGAGCTCTTAAGTGTGGGTCCAAACGTAAAGGGGGGGGAGAGGCTGGATGAGAGTTGACTCCTGAAGGACTTCCCCAGAGGAAAGCTGCAGCATTTTCCTTACCTTGGGTCTTTCCCCCTCTTTTCTAGGGTTCCAGGAAATAGTCTGAGGCAAGATGGAGGGTGTGAGGGGCCTTCACCCTTCACTTCATCCCTTCTACCCATCACAACATGTAAAGCAGCTACACCTGGATTTTTCCAAACAACTTTTATTTCCTCAAAGTCTTCCTTAATCCTATGGAACAAGAAGCTGCCACTGAGTAGGGCCCAGTGTAGGGGCTGCTTTCTTTTCTACTCCCTCCCCCCGATATAAAAATATAGATTTTTTTGTGGTCCCAAAATCTTGTGCTGTTGAGGGAGGGAAGGGGTGGCACATTCCCTGTTTTGTCCTGTCTCAAGGTGATGCTCTGCGATGCCTCAGAACAGTGTGGCTGGCATTCCAAGGAGCTATCGTTGTCACATGGAATCAGCAGCTGAGGGAGGGGACTGGCGCATTTCTCACTGTGTTCCCCATCCTGTGGCTGTATCCTGGGCATGAAGGTCAAGGCATCAGATCCGGGGAGAAACAGTGAATGGGGGAGATTTAGGGACAAAACAAACTTCAGGTTGGCCCAAGGGCCCCCCACTGTAACAAGTCCGAGCCTGGGAGTCAGACAGACTACAAGAAGTAGGAGAAAAGGCAGGGGCAGAGTGGGGCCTTGGGGGCCCGGCCTGAGGCAGCCTGCAACAGAGAAGAGAGGAATCAGGGCTGTGAAAAGTCGGCCCTTCTTCTGGCATGTCAGCCAGGGGCTGGGAGAGGAGACAGGTGAGGTGGGTAAGGACAGGCAGGTTGGCTCTCGCACAGTGGCCGGATGCTGGAACCAGCAAGCTCCTAGGCCTTAGACCCTAACCGTTGTTTTCTTGTTCATCTGAGTGAAGACTGAGGCCATGATGAGGGGGGAAAATGAGGGAACTAGATTTTTAAGGTACATTGAGTTGTTGGGGGGGGGTCACAGGGGATTGGGGGGTCAAGGGGGGTAGGGAAGGAGGGAAATGATTCTGAATGGCAGAAATAACAATGAAGGAGTAGAAAGCGGGAGGGTGAGGGCCTGGACCCTCGTGCTCACCCTGTTGCAGAGCGGGGTCCTGGCTCTGGCTTACTGCTCTCCCTGGTCCGGGGCGCTGGGGACGTGGGGCCTGAAGAGCCTCTCATCCCTCTGCTAGTCGGCGGTGAGCCCCGGCCCAACCTGGGCCTAGCCTGTGGACAGGGACTGGGCTAAGAGGCTGGATTCTTCATGAATATTTTTTGCTTCTAGAGTTTTCATGAGGACGGGTGTAGTTTAGCGGTCAGCACAGGTACTGGGCCTTGGATTCCTGGGCACTGTCCCTAGCTGAGAGGGTAAGGCAGGATAGTAGAAGTCTCGGGTTCAATCTATAACTGTATACTGAGTCTTATTTAATGAGGGGAGGCCAAAGGATCCACCATTTAACCTCCATGGCTATACTATGGCCAAGATCTGGCTGAGTAGCGAAGTACTGTGTAGAAAGATGTTGGAGGATTGGTAGATCTTCCTTAGAGCCTTCTGTGCCTCGGCCTGGCCAGACCAGCATAAGCTTTACCCATCCAGCCACCTTCTGCCTATTCCCAGCTTTAGCCAACCTAGCATAGGGGTCTGGACTGAGTCGGAGGTGGTGGCACAGCTGCTCCTAGGAGCGACAACCAGATGTGTTACCTGGGGAATCCGGGACCCCTCCTGGCGGGAACTCTCCTCGGGCAGGTCTGGGCAGAAAGAGAGGAGAAGCTAAGGGCAGGGGCAGATGAAGCCAAAACTAGCAGGCTGAGGTTGGGGTACATCCGGCAGGAACATGGGGTCGGAAGCAAGCAAGAGGCCTGGCTGAAGGGGGTGGGCACGCTGGACAGCTAGGCACTCAAGACGCCAGAGCGGCTTTCTGATACGGCTGGGGGAGAGGAAAGCGGTGCTGGGCATCATCCCTCCTACGCAGCGGGACGGTTCCTTGTTGGGCTCTGCTGGAGATACTTTGCTGGGAACTGGGGAAGACCCAGAAATGTTACCTGCATTCGGGTCCTGATGCAGGGGATTCGAGGTCCAGTTCCTAGTAGACCTTTCCCAATCACCATGACGGCCTCTGGCTTGTCCCCTGAGGACAGGAATGAGCAGCTGCTCCCTAGGGAACAAAGAAAACTGATCTCAGGGCAAGGGCCATAGAGAAAAAGTGGTGACTTCCTTTAGATCAGGGTTTCTCGGTACTGGCAGTACTGACATTCTGTGCCATTGTAGGCTGTTTAGTGGAATCCTGGGTCTCTCCCCACTAGGTGGCATTTCCTCCCCTGCCCCTTCCCCATTTGTAACAATCAAAAATGTCTCCAAACATTACCAAATGTCCAGGGGTGCTGGGGCGGTTACCCTTGGTTGAGAGGCTTGGCATGTTCTAGTCTGATTCACGGGGTGGAGCAACAAACCAGAGCTTGAGTCAGAACTCACTCAAGCTGAACTACTCTGAATTTATAGACCTTAAAGCCTGTTCTAACCAAATGTGGGAGCATTTAAAGATCAAGTCAGCAGCACCCAAGACAGGCGGGCTGAAGGCTGCCCAGCCAGGAGTTAACTGAGTAGGAGTAGCAGATTCTGAAGGAAGTACAAGGTGCAGGACTAGAGTCTTAGAAATCATTCTCATCCAGTCCTTTATACAGCTGGGATATAATGAAAGGAGAGCAGGCGGCCAAGTCTGTGTGTGGATAACATGGGCACACGTTTGCAGTGATGGGAAAGGCCTATGCTTTCATTCTGCAGCTTTGTCAGTATTGCCCAGCTCCTGGAGTCCGGGAGCTTGAATAAGCTGGGAAGAAAAGTCCTGAGGTTCCTCAACTGTGAAAGTGAGAATTAAGTGAGATAATGTGCTTAGAGCAGTGCCTGCCACATAGTAAACGCTCAATAAATGGTAACATTTTATTATACAAAGACATTCATTAAATTCCAGCTTCCTGTACAAGGGCGTGGGCATGGGGGTTTAGGATAATTTGGTAAGGTAACGGACGCCTCTGGTCTGGGTGGCCCACATTACATCGAGTCCAAAAAGAGGTCCAGGTGCTGACGGAGCTGCAGGGGTTTCTTCAGGCCTTGCCAGGGATCTGGTCTACGCCCTGCGTGGTAAGGAAGGACACCGGCCCACTTAGATCTCAGTGGCAGTGGGTACAGACCTGATATGCTGAGTGGGCTGGGCAGCAGGCAGGAGCCCATGCTGCGTGAGGAGGCTGGGCTGGAACTGGCCGGAGCTGGGGATGGGGCCAGGCTGCTAGAAGTAGTGCGATGTGTCAGTGGCTGCTGTCGCCGTCTCCTGTCCTGGTTTCGGGGCTCTGAGTGGAAGGGACACAAGCAGATAAAAGGGCAGATAAGTGAGGCGCTGATACTCCACTGCCCCACTGGCTGTCCTTGGTCAGAAGATGCCTGTTTTCAAGCTTGGTATCACTCCAGCATCTCTTGGCTGAACTAAATCTGAGAAGAAGGACCTCTAATAACTTACGCCAGTTACCCAGTCTCAGCTAGCCCTCACCCTGCTGCACCTCCCAGGAGCTAACCAGCTTACCCACTAGTCCGTTCTCTGGCAAAGGAGTGACTGAGCTTGGTTCCTACAACACAACTTTCCTGGGTTCTCCTTTTCCCTCTGTCGGTGCCTCTTCAGCTACCCTTGTGCCCCTCAGATGGCGGTGGCCCCACCACCTCCGTCCTGTCCTGCTCAGCAGGCTCCAAGCTCCCAGGTCCCCTCAGCCCTTTCTTCTGAACTGCAGCCCTGGCGGTCCACCGGACATTTCCACCTGGCTGGCTTTCATGACCCAAACAACATTCATTTTCTCCCACCCTTCCTCTTGTGTCCCCTGTGCTCATGAAGAATCTGCAGGAAACTTTCATCTTTCAACTCTTTGGTCACATTCAGATTTGTGTTTAACCAAACTGACAGTACCTCTGCCTTCACTTGAATTCCTTCTTTATGCTCCCTTGCTGTCATTGCCATTGTCCAGATACAGGTCTTTAGCTTATTCAGGCTTTTGAGAAAAAAAGATTCCCCAATGGTCTCTTCCTTTTTAGAATCCATCCTTTACACAATTCCTTAGAACTGTTACTCTAAAACACAGACCTGACCGAAAACCACTTTGGCTCAGACGGGGGGGGCGGGGAGACACTGAAGATCTTTGCCAGGACAGAGCCTAAGCCTTTGCACGCAGCATTCAGACCCTGCCTGCTTCGATCCGGCCTGTGTGTCTCTGCAGGGTGCTGGCCGCGCCTCCCCACCCTCTGCTGCAACCCCTGGGGCGCCTGGCTAGGTGGTTCCTCTGTGTTGTCTGTTTCCTGGTGAAACCTTGGCTATCGGCCCATCTCAAATGTCACTTCTGTGAGGTGTCCTTGACCATTATAGGTAGAGTTCATTGTTCTCTCTTCATTGTCCTTTGTTCACTTGGCTAGTAATCATTTATGGTTTCTGACTCCTTAATTAGTACATGTAGAAGACCTAAAATAATAGCTGGCGTGTACTAAGTACTCAGTAAATGTTTGCCGATATTCTAATTAGAATTTGATTCTCTTGAGGGTGGGGACCTTCTGTAATACTGTGTATCCCAGTGCCTGTCAAACAATGACCTTAGTGTTTTGTTTACCTAAAAGCAGACACTCACTATAGACCGGGGGCTGGCTCAGTAATCTCTAAGGGCATATGGTTACACCTGTGGGTCAGCTCTCTGGTCCATTCCTTGCGACTAGAGCCGCTGCACTGTTACAGGTTCTGAAGGGGCTGGCCCACTGGTACAAATGGTGACTAGACAGAGTTGGGAGGTTTTCAGGTTCGGCAGGTCCTTCCTCATCATAGAGGGACAGAAGGTGCCAAATGCTCTCAAACTAAATGAGCTATTAACATTCATGGAGCTGAATTTGATGGAAGTTCCAGGACGCCAGATGATACCTAACAAAGCCACATATGTTATGTGTGAAAAGCCTCCAATTTAAGAAGTAGGTGACAAAAACTCCATCGTGTCTTGCTACACTGAGCAGTAACCAGCAGTAATAAGGCAACTTCCAGAAGGCCCCAAACCAAATTTTTAAAAAATTGATACTTATATGAATCAGGACTAAAAGAAATCTCAGGGAGAGATCTCAGGATGGAAGTTACTCTAGCTTTGAGATTCCTGAGATGCTGGGTACCAATTAACATCTAAGACCTATAGCCAAGATTCAGAAACAACCAAAACTTAGGGGGCTAGTAAGAGTTGGTACAGCAACGCCAATAGGACAGCAAAAGTCAGAGACGCAAGGCCCCTGTGCAATAGCCTGAAACACGACCCACCACCGCCAATGACCTGGAGATGCTGTGGAGACCAGGCCTGGGTAATTCTTTGGTTAAAAAAGGGATGTCACTATGGTGTCCAAGTGACAGTGTACAGTAGGAGAAATAATGAACTTGATAGAGGGGAAACAGCAGGTTTCTGGATGGCTTGAGAAATCTCCATACACAGAAGCATGCTGAAAACATGTTAAGGGATGAAGCCTCACCCACCCCAAGAAAGGATAAGAACAAGCAAGAGTGGGCAAAAGCCTTTGGGATTTGCAGGTTCCAGTAAGAAACTGTGATACCCAAGAAGGTATGACATTAAGCAAGCAAATGATGTTTAAAAAAAGTGTGAAATGGAGGGATCATGGGAAAGATACTAAGGCAACAACGCGGGAATCCTGCCCGTAAGGAGAGTTTTGGGGTAGAAGACAAAGTCTGGTTTAGGGGAGAAGCCTGATCTGGAAAGTGTAAGGCATTTAAAGATAGCATTTCACACTTACTTAACAGACTATCTTAAGATCTAACCAGGCCTGCCTATAAGTTTGGCAATGTGAGCACACGGCGCTTCTCACGTTTTGGCTTTTGGCCTACTCAGTCCCCATAGAGACAGGAATTAAAGGGTTGGAGCCCCAACTCTGTTATTTCTCGGTTCTATAAACAGTGGTTTAAGAATGATACGTGATCAGCTCTGCTTCCAGAGGTAAGATGATGTATTTTAATTTATTTATTTTTAGAGAGGGGGGAAGGGAGAGAGAGAGAGGAAGAGAAACATCAATTCATTGCCTCTCACACGCCCCAAACTGGGGACCCGGCCTGCAACCCAGGCCTGTGCCCAGACTGGGAACTGAACCGGTCACCTTTTGGTTCACAGGCCGGAGCCGCAGCAGCCAGGATGCGAGATGTTTTATGGTAACCAGCCCTAGGTTCCATTTTGGGAGTGGCGGGTTGGTCCTGAGGCAGTGTCAGAGAGGAGGAGCCCTGCCGCCCTCACCAGTGCGTGAGTGAGAATGGGTACTCAAAGGCCTCACAAGTTACAGGAGTAGATCTATGACTTGGGCGTAGGTCCTGCATCACGTCCCCCAGGACGCCTTTGGAACTCTTCCCTACGTGTGGCACCCCATGTTCATCTTACTGAACCCCTGGGGTGACTGTGGACCTGTGTGCACCCTCTGAGGGGTGGGAAGGTGGGCCAAGCATTCATTCGCCTCCTGATTTGCCTTTTATTCAGCAAATATTTGTTGATCATTTAGTGCTGGGCACAATGCAAGGTGATAAGGAAATAACTAGACGTGTTAAGGAGAAATTTCCTGCCATCAAGTAAGTTTTAATCTGCCATTTAACATGAAGCTTTTGTTCGCAGTGGACAGGGTAGAAGTGATGGTGTGGTCCCTTTTCCTGTGCCCTTCGACTTACTTCTCGAAGGACCTCCACTCACTGCTGGACCTTAGCTTCCCTACCAAACGCTGCCTCTCGGCCGAGCGGGGGCATCACGGAGGCCAGGAAAGGGTGCTAGTAACCTCGGGTTTGAGTACCAGAGCTGGAAGGAATGAGGGCAGCGGTGGGAGGACAACAGCTGAAGACGCTACAGTTAAGCCCCGTGTCTTCGACCCCAGTGCCCACTGGGCAGCTTTCAGGGCCAGAGCCTGTGTCTCAGTTTTTGAGACTACTGCTCGAATCCAGGGCCAGGGCTGGCATGAGCCATCTAGGGTGCGCCGTGTAAGGAGGCCCTTGCCTGGCCCTGAGAGCACGCGCCTTCTGAAATTGTGTTGCGGGCACCTCACTGGCCTCCCTCTAGTCCTTGCCCTGTTTTTTTCAGTACACAACCAGTAAGAGATGCTGTTCTGCCTCTCCCAGGTCCTCCTCTGAGCTGTTTGCACCTGCTCTTGCACCAGAATGCCCAGACTTCTGACTCCCCTCACTCCGTCGTATTAGGTATTCCCCAGCGACCTCTCGTCCTCCTCCTCTGCAGCAGCTGCCGCAAATGCTGTCTCTACTCCTGAGACAGCGGGTGGGGGCTTGACCACAGGTCCGGGAAGGCGGTGCTCATGGCCTCTCTGGCAGCGGGAGAGGAGGAGGTGAAGATGACCCTGGCGCTGCGGTCAGGGGCGCGAGGAGTCCGGGCTTCCTGGGGGGCTCTTCCCACCTCCTGCTCCAGGACCGTTCCTGTCCACCTCACGCTGGCCATTTGCTGGACTTCTAAACGTCATCCCCCGGCTTCTGAGGACAGAACCTGTCAGGCTAGACCCTTAAACCTCTGCCTGAAGCCTCTGGGCTGCCTAGATTTTTTCTGAAATCTGGATTGCTCAGTCTACCCAATGAAGGATAGTCACTAATTAAATGTATGGTTAAATGTGATACAATTTTTTTATACATTAGTGGAAATTTCCTTATAAGTAACTTCACAAGACAAAAAAATCTTTTATCAAATCACAATCCCACTTTTGGGTTTGGAAAGCATAGCTGCTTTATAGTTAGATCACAGGGGTGTGTTCTTCCTGTCTGGGAACACCAAGTGTGTCTAGATGTGGCAGAGGCCAAAGAGCCAGATGTGTGCAAAATGGAAATGTCACAAAGCTATAGTACAGACAGACCACACTAGACAAGTAAGTAGTTCCAAGGGTTCAAGATGCCAAATCCAGACACCACCGTCTGCATCACAGGTCCCTGCCCCAAGCCCAGGCCTGTCTCCCGTCCTGGAGTTTTGTGAGGGACTCTAAGAGATGAAGCGGCGAAACCGCAGCACCAGCAAATGCCCAAGAGAACACAGGAGGCAAAATTCCCATGATCTGGCCTTTCAGCTCCTCACAGTATTCCTGGTTTGGTATTAATGGCAACCCTCTTTTTGACCCCTTCACTTTAGAGAGGAAGTTTTTTAGTTCTTACAAATACTTGATTCAAGTCCCTGGGATGTCTCTTTACTCAAACCAGCTCTCTTCTCTTGCTTCTAAGCTCATTCACCTTGGGGAACATAGCTTCTCACTTGGTTTTACCTGCACCTGTATATGGATGACTCCGAGATCCAACCCTTGTGTCACCTTTTGTACCATTGGGCCCCTTCCTGCCTGCAGGACATCTCCATACAGATAGTCCGTGACATCCAAGCATGGTTAAGGAGATAAGCTCATCACTTCTTCTCACAGTGCCTTAAGTCACCATGGTCTTTTTCTTTAGCTTGTAGCCCTGAATGAGGCTGAGTTTGTCACTCTTCCTCCATCACTGAGTCCTGCCATTTGCGTTTCTAACATGTGTATTCATCTCTCTTTTTCAGACCCTGGTACAGGCGCTAGCCTTCTTGTATGTAAACTGCTCCAAGGGTCTCTCCTCTCCTTGCCTGCCTGATATATACAGTTCAGACAGTTCTTTTAACATGTTCTTTTTTTTTCTTAACATGAATCTTTTGTTCCCATCATTCTCAGAAACACATGTCTTGTTAACTGATAGTCTTTGTTTTCAAGACATTTCTTCTTCCTCCCACCTCTTTTCACCCGACCTCCGTGGTAAGGGGCCTGGCCCTCGGAGCCAGCGAGGAAGCTTGCTTTCTGTTCTGTGCTGCGGCTCTGGGGCAGCTATCATTCTCATCTCTGGAATGTTCCTGTCAAATCATATACTGCCACACATTCATCAAAATAGTTTCTCAACTAAACATTCTTTGGCTAATTACTCTTGTGTTTATCTACGATAGTGGCTCCCCAGTTCCTCTGAATGTTTATAATGTGTGCGTGCTTTTTTGGTTGTATTTATTGTCCTGTGTCCCTTACTAAGTTTCAAATCAGCTGAATGGGAATTACTTTGTACTGATTATGCCTATTTTCTGTTATTTGGAGAAGTAACACAATTTGGGGAAAGAAACACAACTCATATCTCTCACTCATGGAGCTCAATACAGCGCTCTGCACAGGGAGGATGTTTGAAACTGCCTAGGATCCTCCAGTAAGCACCTAGAGTAGGCTCTTTCCTATTTCCCTTTTGTAGAAAGGGAAGGAGAACTTATAATGTTGATGTTCCTTCCTAAGAACTATGAGTTAAGAGGAAAAGAAATTAGAAGGAAAAAAAACCTACCCAGATTTAAGATGGGAAACTCAGGTATACTGAGGCATGAAAAACCTAAGTGTGAACAACTCCGCCACTTAACAGCTGTGCAATCTTGGACAAGTCACCATTAAAACAGCCTCAGATTCCTCCTCAGAAAAATGCAAATGCCATCCATCCCACAGGGACCTCATAAGGATTAAATGAAATATATGTGATACTGTTTTGTTCACTGTTTAGTGTTCTTTAAAAATAAGGCATTATTATTACTTTACTACTCCTTCAAACACAGTATGCAAAAGTGCCTTTTTCCAGTGAAGATAGAATCTCAAAGAATGTGACCTGGAATATAAGCTGAGGTAACTGACACGTCACGGGTTGCACATCGTACTGGTGTCAGCTGGGAAGGACCACTGCTCTGTCCTCTGTGGCTGCTCTAACTAGAGCAGTCAACTTCCACAGCCACGACCCCGTGCGTGTTTCTGGTCTGCACCAAAAGCTGAGTAGCAGGGAAGTGCTAACAAGGATGAGCGTGGCTTGAAGGCCAGGAAGGCCTAACAGCTGATAAGCCTCCATACTCTGGCCAGACTTCTGTAGCCCAGAAGCCACATACAACGCTGACTTGTGGTCTAGCGTGCTTCCAGAAGGGGCGCCGCACTGGCCTTGGCGCCGCAGTCTGGGTCACTCCCGAGAAGCGGCTCTGTCGGCCTTTCCTCTTTCTTTCCCCTAAAGGCCCACCTGTTTCTGGTACACCTTTTGACCCAGAATCTCGTCTCGTCTTATCGGGCAGGGTCTCATCAGGCCCAGTGAGGGGTCCCGATGCAAAGCTGAGCGACTGCGGCCACTGTCGGAAGAGGCTAGCCTGGTGCTTTGTAAACCTACAACAGAACCGGCCTGTAGTTCCATTTTTCTTTGGAAAAGTTGGAATCCTTTGGTAACACTCTATGAATAGGCTCTGAAGCCAGGAAGAATTTCAGCTCATAGGACCTTCAATAGGATTCTCATTGTTCTACACTGCTGTAATTGGACTATAAGGGCATTCCCTTACACTTCCTCCAAGAAGACAACCTGGCACTGTCCTTGAAGTGGAGGCTCCATGTCTCAATGTGGCCCTGCTTCAGCTAGTGTTTTATCCTTAGAAACTCCCCTGCCTCCCAACACGTGCTGAAGCACAGATACCCAGGTCACCCGCCTGTGCCACACACACAGCTGCTCTGAAGCTCATGCCGTAGGGAACACCAAGGTCATAGGAGAGGCTGCAAATTCTGCTATAAACTAATTTTATTGATTTTCCCCCTTGGCCCCAGTCCAAGTGTACATCTTCACGCTCTCACTTTCCCCAGCAATGCCCCAAACAACTGAACACCTGTTGCAGGGGCTCCCAGACTAGCTTACCTCTCACGGGGCCCAGCACCCGGTGGCTGACCTTTTGGGTGCTAGAGCCCAGGCCTGGCAGCCCTGTAGACCGACCGCCATGAAAAGGAAAGCTGGGGGAGCTCTTCATCTGTGGAGAGTTCTGTTGGCTGCTGCTGCTCCCACCGGCACTTGTGCCAGTGCTAAAACTTCGCATGCGGCTCAAGGTATTTTCAGAGCAGGAAGCAGGCAATCCACTGCAGGGAAGCAGATGGTCGTCAGCTGTGGGCCAGGGGGTTGCATCCCAAGTCTTTCCCATGGTCTGATACTCAGGAAGCCTTCACCTCTGGGGTGAAAGGCATAGAAGCGCATTCCCAGGGAGAAGGGAAGAATTCTTGTTGATGTTTGAGGTATCTAACCCGAGGCTTACCAGCTATTCTCAAGAATGCCTACACGCCCTTGTTCATACATACACAGTCCTGCAGGAAATATACCAACAGCCAGAAGGGCCATCCCTGGGCAACTTAAATTCCCAGCAAATTCCTCCCTTGCGGCCTTGGTGCTGGCCTTTGGACCCCTTAGTCAGGTATTCACAACTATTGGAAGCTGAGCCCTGCCCCCACCCCAGCTGTATTTGATTTTGTGCAGGGCTCGAGCATGGAGTACCCTGGCCTGATTTTCAGATACCTATGAAGTACCAGGTCTGAGGAAAGTCCAAGTCTCTATCCAACTTAATTTTCTCTCCTTTTGAGTCTCTCACTTAACCATATGGCATAGATTTTTAAAAATAAACATGCATACAGTTATATATTTAATATATGAGGTCTGTCCAGAAAAAGTCCAGCCATTGTTAATACAACCAGAACGGTTTGCATGACATTGCTGTAACTTGGCAGCCAAGGACTGTGGACTGGAATTCAATTGCATGAACAATGGCAACTTCACTGTACTCGTCAGTGGAAGGCAGTAGACACCACTGAGTAAGTATGTGTACTGTGTGGCTGTTGCATTCAAAATGACTGAGCAAGTAGAGCAGCGAATCTGCATCAAATTTTGCATTAAGCTTGAATGTTCTGTGGGAACTATTCAGATGAGTCAGAAGGCCACAGCTATGGGCAACTGGTGATTGGCAGCTTCATCATGACACAATGCACCCACTCATGCATCATGTCTTTTGCAGTATTTTTTGCAAAACATCAAATCACCCAGGTGACTCAGCCCCTCTACAGCCCAGATTTGGTGCTCGGCGACGCCTGGCTTTTCCAAAAACTAAAACCACCTTTGAAAGAGATTTCAGACCATTGATGATACAGGAAAATACGATGGGGGAGCTGATGGCAGTTGGGAGAACTGTGTGAGGTCCTAAGGTGCCTACTTTGAAGGGGACTGAAGCATCATTGTCCTGTGTATGATGTTTCTTGTATCTTCTTAAGTAAATGTGTCTATTTTTCATAGCACATGGCTGGGTACTTTCTGGACAGACCTCAAACTCCAAGTAAAAGAGAAGAGGATCCTGTTCTCAAAAAATGAACTAATCTTACTAATTTTAATTTACCCTGAAAATGTGTGGTCCTTCAGGAAGTAGGAAAGGAACACAAATCCCTGGGAATTCCTAGCTCTAGAACCCTGTTCCTTTCTCATACCCTTTCTCCTTTCCACCCTGCTGGTCTTACTTGTTAGTTCTGGGTGGAGTTCGAGAGCCTCTCTTCTTGCTGACACCCAGGTTCACAGTGCTGCCCAGGCCTCGGATGCTCCGCACATGCTTCAGCATCCAGGCCCGGAGGTTCGCGAGGCTGCTGTGCTCAGACAGCACGATTCGGGGCCACGGATTGCATTCTGCCATGTCCAAAGCTGCGATGGCCATTGCTCGTCCCACCTGTGGGGGAGTCCGCTTTGGCTCAGTGTCTGGGTCTTTCAACCAAGGCGACTGTGTTGGGGTGGGGTGCACAGCACAGTGGAAGGGAAGGAGAGGCCAGACCTCAAATCTGTTCAATGGGTACTCTTAACTTTTGTGCTCAGACTGTTAATCACAAGTAGATTTAAAGCTACTCCCTAAACTGCTGTTCATTTGGGGGCCCTCATTCATTATGAGCTGGGGCAGGTATGCTTTCTGACTGGCCCCGGGAAGGTGTTGCCCCAGGAGAAGGCATTGATCTCTTCTATAACCCACCGCTCTTTGTACTTGTGTGTGCCCTAGACACCGGGGACCCTCAAGACCTCTGTAGAGGGGGTGCTTGTAGCCCAGGAGTGGACTAACCCAATATAAGGAAGACAAACTCAGAAGCTACAAATCTGGCTTAGATGCACTAGGGGATTCTCTGCTGAGGGGTGAGGGGTCAGAAACGGTGCCCCTTCATCCTCGCAATACTAGGACAATCAGGCCTGCTTCTGTTAACCGAGGAAAATAACCACGGCGGTGACGTGGCGATAGTGACGAGCCTCTTTAGGAGGGCCTTAGGGTCAGGCAGCAGGAGCAAAGGCTTTTCCAGACTTTGAGGTTCTCTGTTTCCCCATTTACCCCATGTATCCATACCTGCTCAAACAATTCCACAGTGTATCTGGAGGGGAAAGCCGGCGGGGGAGGGGGGCTGGCACGGCCGTTGTCGTGGCAGGCGGGAGGGATGCTGTTTACTGAGCGCCCAGTGTTGTAGTTGCATTCAAGTGTGTAGCTAAGACACAGAGACCTTTATCAGTGTCCTGCCTGAACAGAATCTGGATAGAACTATGGGGAACAGCCTACGTGGTCTAAGAAAGTAATCACTTGGGGAAAAAATGGGCAGAAATAAAAGTCCTAATTCCTAGCCACCTGCAACTGACCTCAGCACTATATCACATACCTAGGAAGTCCCAAAAAGGTAGAGTCCCAGGCTAATGCCAATAACGCTAACTGTGAGCCTGCCTTTTGAGAAGACCTGGGCTCTCCCCTGCCCCTCAAGCCCCCGAAACTGGGTATTGCTTTCTTTTGGGAAGCTATTTCATCAACCATATCCCAGTTTCCATTCCAACCTGTGGATTATCCCTGAGGCTTTGTAGATGGCAACCCGGCCGCTTCCCTCCTTAGACTGGCCATCCCTGCGGTCTCGGGCATACATGTTCTTCTCTGAGAAATTGCAGCCCTGGAAGTCGAAGTGGGCTGAGTTCATGGAGATGAGCTTTGGGTACAGCATATTTTCCACCTGTTTGGGGGAAGAAAAAACGAACTGAGAAGAGAGAGAGAAAGAAGAAATGAGGGCAAGGAAGAGATGGCAAGCATGGGGCCATGTGACTTAGATACCTTCACAACCATCAGCGGTAGACAGCGTTTCTTGAATTCTCACGGAATGTTTGACATTATTTCCAGGTGTTGGAAAGGTGCAATTCTACCTCTTTTTAAGCTCTTAGCTTCTTCTCTCCAATAATGCAAAATTTTCCTTCTCCCCCGGTTTCCCAAACTCTAGAAAAGACTACGATGCCGACAGTTTGACACTCGTGCCAGGTCATGATGTAATAGGCCCCAGTGCCATCCCTTCTTGGCCCTTTGAAGCTTGTTCAGAAGTCATCCATCTTTTGCAGCCACAGGCCTTCCCGCCAGAAGGTCCCCTTCTGCTCACAGCCTACCCTTCATCTAACCTGCAGCACTTCCCACACTCACATGACACTCTGTGGGTTCCTACCTGGGTGCTCTCATCACTAAAGCTGTTTCCATACATGAAGCAGCCCCTTTTGGAAGCGTGTCCGTGCAGGTCCACATAGTAAGCAACACCACTCTCTCGGGGGGGGATGGTGTCGGGGGCTGGCTGCTCGGCCTCAGCGGACTGTTGGGGCATAATCCACACACTGTTGTCCTTCTGCTCTGCTGGCTCAGTCTGTGTCCAGGCTTCAGGACTGTCCCCATCAGGTAAGTGCCCAAGGTGAGCTTCATTCTGGAGATTGTTGGCTTTCTCAAGGTCAGAAAGGGGAGCATCCGGAGGGAGATGAGGACTGTCCTGTTGTGCAGAGGGACTCTGGGAGTTCAGACGGGAGTGCACGTGGTGGTAGAGAAGCACCGCTTTAGCCCCGTAGATGGCCGGGTGCAGGACTGCATCAGGCTTCAGGTACTGACGATTCAGATTCACTCCACGCGAGTCTGTGCTGTAGGGGAACAAGGAGCTTGGAACTTGCTTCCCTAGAGCTGGGTCTAGAGGGCTGGACAGTCAGGGAGACACTAGAGTAGATGAAAAGGACACTGAGAGACTGGGTTATAAAATGAGAGGCTGAAGTTGCATTAGGAAAGAAAGAACTGAGGACAGGCACTCGCCTTCCTCGGCTACCCCTCCTGCACAGGAACCCGAGGAGAGCTCCCAGAGGGACCTGTGGTGGTTCTAGCTCCGCTCCTTCCAGAGACTTCTACTAGATGGGATCCCAGTCCTTTTCTAGTCACTGTACGATCATATGGGCTTGCTCTTGTTAGGGTGCAAGAGGACTGGGCACACAGGAGGAGGCAGACGGGAAGCTGATAGCATTGAGATGCAGGGCATGAGGGGAATGAAACAACCCAGAGAAGGAGGGGAGGCTGCTTACCGGTAGTGGCCCCGGACAACCCCATCGGGGTTCAACATGGGAATCAGCTTAAAGACAAAGAGGCGACGTAGGGTTTGGGCCCGGGGATCATCAGGTCGAAGGATAAAGTCCAAAAAGCCATTGAAGACAAAGCTAGATGGTGTCTCCCCAGGGTGCACCCTGCTGCTTAAGAAGAATATCTGATGTGGAGAAGAGAGCCGTCATTAAGTCAGTTACACTATGGTTCCACCGGAACAGTTTTCAGGGCAGGGGTTCGGGGGAGGGATGAGGCAGGAAGAGCCACTGGATTCCAGCTGGCTGAGTTTGTAAAGCAGAGTGGCAGCCGTCACACTTGCCCCAGGAAGCAGGCTGGCCGTGTCTAAGATGCCTAGTGATAAACGCGGCTTTAGGCTGTCAGCAGTGCCTGGACTAGGGGAAGGTTGGGGTCCTACCTTTATGCTCTTCCCACTCACCCTCTTGCCTGTGAAACGGAATGGCCGGGGGGTACTGGTATCAGGAAATAGCTGCTCTAGTCGGGGCTCTCGATCTTCTCGCAGCCCATGGCAGGAACTGATCGTCAGCAGATCTACACGAAGTCCATCCAGAGAATAGCAGAGGATCTCCCGGTGGTAATAGATGGTATCCAGGGGGCTGTAGGGATACAAATCATTAAGCCAGCCGAAGTCCCTGAGGTCCTAGCAAGAGGTGGGCCTTGTCACGATCCCAGGATTTGTAGGATCTGGTATTTCACCCTCACCTTTGGGGCCCTTACAGCTCCTCACAGTGTTGGAGGAGGCTGAGGATTTGGGTGGGTGTGCGCTGCCAGGGTGCCAAGTACGGGGCCGGATAAACTTGCCCCCCGCCCCCGCCCCATTTATGGCTCCCTAGGATAGATTACTTTGCATAGACAAAGAGGGTTGTCCTCTATTGGGACAGAAAAAAAGCGGTGCTGAGCAATGGCAGTGCTGGCCAGATTCTGGATAACTGACAGGAGCTGGGGTAGTAAGAGCTTGAACTGGACAGGTGGGTGTGTGGAGTGTAAGGGGTGGTATGCTGAGAACCAGGTCACACAGGAATATATTTATGAAAGGTGCCCCAAGTCCCACAATCTGTACAGAGAAAAGAGCTGATGCAGTTTTGGTTCAGGGCTCTTAGGGCAAGTTCCAGAAGTAGCAGAGGTGCTGTCTGGTCTAGGGCCATGTGGCAGGAGCAAGAATGGGGTTGGCACCTGCTATGGGTAGGGTGGTTCTCCAGGAAGCGCTGGTCTAGCTGGTTTAGCAAATCCTGACAGTCACTGTAGGAGAAGGGGTAGCAGAAGGCGAAGAAGGTGGTGGCCCCACGGCCCTCCACAAAACGGTGAACAAAGGATAACACAAACTGCGTCTCTGTCATCTGAGGAGCAGAGGAGAGAGGGGGGCAACATGCCATCAGTGTCAGAACGAAGGTCCTACTGATGTCACCAGGGACCGACCTCACACCCTCTTCACATTTACCAGCTCCCCTCCCTCTGAGCCTTTTCCATATGACAACCAGCTCCTTCGAGGTTCCTGAGGCAGGGGCTTGCCCTGGACTCCTGCTCGTGCTGCAGGGAAAGCTGCCACCAAAACCCGGCGTCCTGCCCGCCTAGTGCTCAGTATGGAGGGTGACTCCTCTTTCCTTTCCCTCCTCTACTTGGAGCACCCGAGTCTGTCTTTCCTCCTCATGGCTAATTACCTCAAAGGTGGGCCGGTCTCGAATGCGCTCCCAGCGTGGCCGGGTGGGCAGTGTCCGCACGAAGGGGGCCATGCCCTGGGAGTACAGCTTGCTTTGCTTGTTCATGTTCATGACATTGATCTTGATGAGTTTCCCTGGAGATCCTCCCCGGACGCTGAAGTAAAACCATGACCTGAAGGCCAGAGTAGTAGAGACAAGTCATTGTATACAACAGGCTGGAGAGGACACACAGGAAAGGAGTAAGGAGAGAGGGAGGGAGGAGGGACAGGAAGAGAAGAAAGGGTGGGTACCATATTTTTATGAACTGCAAGTCAGAGGGCTGAGCACAGGTTGGGGACAGGGACTTCCCCTCTCTGTTCCTTCTTCCACCCGCCATTACTTTCCTCTTACCTGTTCCCATTCTCAAATTCTGTCTCAGCACAGTCTGGCCGGGTCCACACGTTGAACTCATAGTCAGGGGAAGAGGCAGTGCTGCTGGTGGGGGCTAATGCCCCCCCTGCTACTCCTTCCCCATCACTAGACACAGATTCTACTTTCTCCACATGGGCTAGGTTCCCTGAATCAAATCGCGAACTGAATAGCAGTCCCCCACAGCGCAGCTCCATGGTGGGGCTGGGAAAGCATCCTCCTGTTGCACTCTGGCCCTGAGAGCTGGGGAGAAACGGGGAGTGGGTTAGGGAGGAGAGGGGCGGAAGATGGAAACAAGTGTTTTGGGTACCTCTGGATAAATGAGAGCTACCCTTAGGGAGTGCCCTATGCAGCAAGAGGCTCTCTCCCTGTCAGAAAGGGTCTTCCAGTGAAGGCCAAACAGTATTCTGTCTCCACACTAAGGGCTACAACTGACCGAAAAGGACCCCATTTTACTCTAGCTTGGCTATTCCAAAATGAAATATTCAGTGGCTTAACTAGGTTGAGAGAAATACTAAAAAATAGTAGACTCTAAGCTTCTTTGAAGCCCAAAGTTGACAGAATATAGAGAGGTCAGATTGCCCAAACCTAGACAAGATACAGATACACCCACCACGACACATGGCCATCCTGAAAGATGGGCCATTCCGGATCTCTGCTTCCTAGGTTGGCCCCCTACTCTCCAGCAACACAAAGTGGAAAGAACCAAATTTCTAAGTTTAAATGGGCAGCTTCCGGTCTCTTCTCCTTTTTCCTCACAAGCACTGACCAGGCATTCTTCTGTTGCTTCCCTGAGCCCTGGAAGGGCTGGATTTACCCTTCTTGTTATTACCCTATGCCTAGTATGGAAAAAAGTAGGTAAGTGTGGCCTCGGCCAAGCCAAAGGAAACTGGGCAGAAGCCACTCGCTCACCTAGACTGCAGCTCAGTTCCAATTGGGGCACAGATCTGTTTCCACCCTTCTCCAGCCCTGTAAGCACTGGAGTCCCTTATCAGGCTACTCTGGTAGTTGGAAGGTGAATAATGGGTGTTGGAAGTGCCCCTATAAAAGTGGCTGGTCGAGACCCACCTGGGGACAGGGGGGTCACTTCTCGACCCTCAACTCTGAAGGACCCAGATGCCCCTGGGCAGGGTGGGCTATGGAGGCATGGAATGGGTCAAAAGACACTCACAGTAGAGGAAGGGCGAGGAGGCAGGGAACAGGGGTCAGAGGTGAGGCCACGGGAGTGGAGGTGGGGCCGAGGAAGCGGGGTTGAGGGGCGGGGTGGGATTCCAGAGGGGCTCGGGGCTGAAAGGGCAGAGAAGGGGGCGGCACCGGGGCGGGCGGGGCCCGCTCTCCACGCGGAGCCCCTCACCTCTCTCTGGGCCGGTGATCCCGCTCCCTCTCCCGCTAGCGAGGCGCCACCTCGGGCCCCGGCACCCGGGCCCTTTCCCCAGGACCCAAACAAAACCCAAGCGCCGCGGTGCCGGGACCCCGCTCTGCCAGGAAACAAGAAGTCTCTCGCCTATTGGCCGTGGGTACAGCTGGCTACCCGCCCAGTAAAGCTCGCTGCCATTGGCTAGTCTCAGGGCTTCCCTTGCACGCGGGCTGGTGCTTGAGCCAGTGCCGTTTGGGGGCTCGCCCAGAAGAAGGGTTCCGCCCGCGTCTTCTCGGAAGATAAACGGCCTGCCAGCCGGGAAGAGGGAAGCACAAAAGTGACGAGGAAATAAACGGGAAAAGACTTACCTTGAAAATGAAAGGACAATGTGTGAAAGTAATAATTGCCTGCTGCGCTCCTCTGTGTATTACAAACACCCAACCGGTTCGGCGGATCTCCGGCTAATCAGAGATCCTGTAATACTTGGGCAAAAGTAAAGTGGAGGATGCGGGCATCGATCCCGCTACCTCTCGCATGCTAAGCGAGCGCTCTACCATTTGAGCTAATCCCCCGGTTGGTGTTACCTCCCTTCCCTTTACCTTACAGGTTGTGGCAAGCTGTCTGCTGACCGGTACACAAACCAAAATTCAGGACATTAATTTAACACTAGAGTATAATGAAACCATGGGCAAAATTTTTAATAAAGCAAGAATAACTACACGTAAGCAAGAGTAACAAAGCCTAAAACACGTGAATATCCCTGCGTTTAACCCGCAAGAGAGCTGTACTGTACGCACCCTGACTACTTACTGCATATATATTTTACCCAACATCGGCAGTACTCCCGAAAATTCAGCCTGCCTTTCTCCGCCCCCCACCTCGAGGGTACCGAATTAAATGGGATTCAAAAAGGTTGTACGAAGTCCTTCGAGCCGGAATCGAACCAGCGACCTAAGGATTGCCACGGCTCATCCACTACAGTCCTCCGCTCTACCAACTGAGCTATCGAAGGCCCCGCTGCTTCCTGGTGTTGCGGATTGCCCTCTAATGCTTACGGAGGGCTCGATGTTCTGGGCTGTCAGAATTTTCTAGAGTCTAGATTCCGCTTTCTAAAAAAGCTTACCCGGGCCGAGCCCCTCCAGGCCACACAGAACAAAGTCAGCCGGAGACAAAAAGTGCGAACAAAGGACCCGCGTCCCAACGCTAAAGGGAGGAAACACGGGCAATACACTTCCCTTCCGTTTCTCTGCTTTCTACAATACTAAACAATACACACACACCCGCCCCCACCCCTACCCGCTCCCAGTGGCTTCTATAGGATTGAGGACGCTTAGAGACCCCGCCCGCAACCCTGAGCAGCTTTGATCAGCAGGTCCAGTAAGCCCGCGTGCGCTACAACTGTAAAGCGCTAGCCGGGGTTGTGGCCCCGACCGCTTGCTTTTGCTATTTCTGCTCCACATTTCCCTTCGTTTTCTCCGAGGACACCAATAAAATCCTACTCTCTCCTGGTGTGAAGTGCATTCATTCAATTAACAAACGTTTTGTCAAGATCTATTCGTCGTGACTAGGGCAAGAAAGATACAAACCACGGAGCTGATCGAGGATTGCAGGGAGGAGCGGGATCCGGCTGCGCCGACACCCCGCGATGCAGGACTGCCTGGTAGGCCGGGAGAGGGGCCCCGGGCAGAGCCGTGCCCACCCGGCCCTGGGCCCTGACCGGCCCTGCCCACCCGGCCCCCGCCCCTATCTGGCTCACACCTTCACCTCTCTTTGCAGGGACCTGCAAAGCCAGCCCGCAATCCTTTGCCCACCAGAAGCTCCCGGGCTTTGAAAATAAAGAAACCAACCTAAAACCCAACTCTTCAGTGAAGCCTTGCTTCGTAGTCTGGCGGGGCCAGTGTGCGGGAAGACCTGGCCTCCATTTCCGGCTCTGGGGCCAACTGCCTGTGCAACCTGGAGTCACGATGCGCTGGGCAAATCCAGGTGAGGATTTCAAGCCCATTGCAGCTCCGACATTTCATGGGTTCTCGTAGGCTGAGCTTTAAATCCGAGGTCTCTGAGGTCGTTGAGCACAACACGGCTTTGCGCCCACCCACAAAGCAGGAGGTTAACATCTTGGTTTAATTTTGCTGTGTTGCTGCAAATGCTACCACTGTGTCCCAGAGCGTTAGCTTGGAGTGTTTAGCACTCTTCTTTTTGGAGGGGGATAGGAAGAGAGGGGGGAAGCAGAACATATTTATGTTGCCTTTTTTCGTGTGTGTGAAATTCGCATGACACAATGAACTATTTTGAAGTATGAACAATTCAGTGGCATTTAATGCATTCACAATGTTGTGCAAATTATCACCTCTCTGTTTCAAAACTAGAATAATCCGTACCCTTTAAGTAATTACTCCCCAAGGGTTACATCCCTTGGCAGCAACTAATCTGCTTTCTGCCTGTATGGATTTGTCCATTCTGGAGATTTCACAGAAAAGAAACCATAAAACATGTGACATTTTGTATCTGATTTCCTTCACTTATGTTATTGAGACTCTGATCAAAGTTGTAGCATGTATCAGTAGTCCTTCCTTTTTAATGGCTGAACACTATCCCCTTGTATGGATATATCATTTTATTTATCCATTCATCTGTTTTGATGGACATTTGGGCTATTTCTATCTTTGGGCTTTTATGAATAATGGGTTCGTGAACATTCATTTACAAGTTTCTATGTGGATATGTGTGTTCATTTCTCTTGGTTACTTATCTAGGAGTGGAATTGCTGGGTTTTAGGGTAATTATATGTTTAACTCTTTGAGGAACTAACTACCAGACTTTTATCCAGTGTCTGAACCATTTTACATTCCCACCAGCAATGTAGGAGAGTTCCAATTTCTCCACATCTCTGTCAATACTTATTTTCTGTATTTTTTTATTATAGCTGATAGTTCAATAAATTAAGCTCAATTAATTACAAGCATTTTATGATATCATTAAAGGTTATTTAGAACCATTTGAATCGCCATTTCTCATCCTTTTGTTTTACCACAGTTTTAAAAAATATTCATCTTATTGTCAGACACAGTTTATATCCAAATTTTTGTTGTTAATACTCCTACAATAAATGTTCTGGAACATATATTTTTGTCCATATTTTTGTTTATGTTTCTATTCTCCAGAATATATATATATATATAGTCTTTAAAAATTATTTTTACATATTTGGGAACTTCACATAATTTTGATAAATATTACAAAATTATGCAAAAAGTCAATATATTTTCAGAAATGGAATTACTTGGTAAATTGTATGAAACTTAAAACTTTTGATAAATATTACCAAATACTTCCCAGAAACATTGTATCAATTTCTATCATAGCATTCACTAAGTATATTATCAATTTAAAAAATTCTTTGTTAATATGCTATGCAAAAGTGAAGTGGTATCTTATTTTAAATTTGCACTTTTTAACCAATGAAATGGACTTTTTTCAAGTCTATTGTTTATTTGCATTTATTTTATGAATTATGTCTTTTATCCATATTTTTATTATTGTTTTTGGCACTTACTGATCTGTAAGAGTTCTTTAACATTAAGGATGTGTTTATGATAAGCTCACAAGTCAACGGAGTCCTTGATCAACACAGCAACTTGACCTAACACACAAACGCAGAACATTCTACCCAACAGCAACAGGACACATGTTCTTGTCAAACACACATGGAACATTCTCCAGGATAGCTCACATGTTAGGCTACAAGTCTCAACACATTCAAACAGATTGAAATAATACAAAGTATGATTAATGTAAACTACGCACTGTGGATGACAGTGATGTGTCAGTGTGTGGGAGAGGCTGTGCAAGTGTGAGGGAAGGGCTATGCACTTTTTGCTCAACTTTGATGTGAATTTAAAGCTACTCTAAAAAATAAAGTCCATTAAAAACTTAATAACTGACATGCTAATGCAGTAAAAGAAATTATGCCAAGGCACACCCCAAAATGTGTCTGAATTCAATTTTTTAATTCACAGGCAGAATATTCAATATTCAATGAATATTCACGCATATCCTGAATGGTAGAAGCTCCCTTCCATCCCTAAATTTCTTCTTATATCTCGAGTCTGGGGCAATGAAAGTACCCAGAAATAAAAAGAAAAAAAAAGGGAAAGCAAGGTCCTTTGTCTCCTCAAGCCCTTTTGGCAGCAAAACCATGAAGAGTATGCAGAAAAAAGATGGATGGATCACTTGAAGTGTTCACTTAAATTCAAACTCCTTTAGGAGAGATAAGACATATTAAAATGCTGAGGTCATCCAACCATTGAAATATGTGTAATTGACAGCTGGGTTATTCTGGGACAGGGCAGGGAAGGCATGTCTGTCTCTCTGTGAAGCACTTCACCCCAAGGGTGGTGGCACTTTGAGAATGGACCAGCAATGCCGCAGGTGTGAGCCCAGCAACATTATCTGCCTGGCAAGATTATCTATCCATAGTAAGTGGGGCTGGCCCAACAAGCTGGCCTGCCCCAAAGCTGACGCCGCAGACTGGGTGCAAATAACCAGAGGAATCTGGAAACATATTTTAAGACTCAGAAAAAAGGAAAGAAGTGTTTCAAATGCGTCATGTTATACAATCTGCAGGTCCACACAATTTGTAATAACTAAAGTTAGTGAGAGATAACCATATTTAAACTACCCTTCAGTTTTATGCCATGTTATCTGTAGAACTCCAGCTGCGTGTGAAAAGTTACAATGTCCAGATGTGGCCCGCTGGAGTGTCAGTTTACTTCTTTTCTTCCGAAAACACCAACAGTCATTGTCTATCTGTCAGCACCAGAGTGTACTAGTTCAACTCACTGGCTCAGCTTGGATTCCTGTTTGTTGACAGTTCTGCAGAAATGAAACATCTGGATGTCTGGTTTAGCCTGAATGGACAGCAGGTGCGGCCTTGGACTCCTCCTCCTCTGGCAGAGGAAAGAATTCTGGGCAATTCCGATACTGGGTCAAGCAACTGCATCTATCAAGCCAAGCCAGTTCAGGTGTCCAGTGTCTTTGTGAGAGGCTGTGGTGACCTCAGTTAGCTAAGTTGAAGAGAAATGTTGCACCCCAGGATCACATGTCAGAGAGGGAAGAACCCGAGGTATAGTCCACACACGAGAACCAACGAAGCACTTGGAAATGGCATTCTGAGTTGCTGGCCTGACAGAATTCAGCCCAGCAGCCTTGGCTGGACTCGATATCCTTGTAGGATAATGTCATCACTTTGTCCTTTGCTGTTGCCAACCCAGGATCATACCAGCCCCTCTTTCTACTTGAATACAGGCCAGTTCCAAAGCTTCGGTATTCCTAAGAATTGACCCCATTTGCTTCTCCCATCCATGTACTAACCAGGCCTGACCCTGCTTAGCTTCCGAGGCCCCATTTGTTTCTGACTGGCGAGGAGGGACTGAGGAAATGGAACACATCGTGGGACCCTTGGACAGTCCTGCCTAGCAGTCCTAGACCATTGCTCTTTACCAGGCAGGGCTTCTAATTTGTGAAAAATGGTCACAGCCAACTCCCACTAGGAGAGCAGGGTTCTGCCCCACGCGAGCTATTTAATTTCCAAGGGGTAACATCCTAACAAGGAAAGGGAACAAAAGTATGAATGGGCAGTGTGCGTCTAGTACTGCTTGTTTTGAAACATCCAGGAAACATGAGGTGAAAACTGAAAACCTGTGCAGTTATGACATAGAGCCTCAAGTCAGAAATTAAAAGGAAATTTGGTGATAAACCCTTGATCCTGATCTCTTAAGTTCTAAATCTTTCACTCACTGCCTTATAGAACAAACCAATTAATAAATTAAGGTCCTGGCAAGGGAGAAGACACCCTAATTGCTGGCCAAGAATTCCCCTAGGAGGCTCTTCCCTGCTTTTCCCAGCATAAAGTACTTCAGCTGCCAAGGCAAATCACAATTAGGACAAGAATCAGTGGCGAGACAATAAAACTAGGGGAGCAAGGGGAGTGTGCCTAGAACCCTCACTAGGCCGAAGTTCAGAATGATGGACGCGAGCTTTCCCTACCAGCAGCTCAATTACTGCCAGTGGCTGCAACGCCTAGGAGGGCAGAGGGCCAATGGGAAATAGGCAGGTGCCTGTATTTTGTCCTGCCCACAACTATGGGGCTTCCTGTGTGACAATGCAGAGAGGACAGTTAGAAATCAAATCTGTGTCCTTTATTCCACCTAGTAGGCACATCCAGGGGCCAGATGCTGAATCCGCTCTCAACAACCTGCTGGAAGGTGCCCAGCGCCTGAGGCACACAAGTAAGCAGGCTCCGCCCTCCAGGCAGAAGTGGGGGTGGGCAGCAGAGAGAGGAGGAATCTGGGGGCCAAGGGGGAATGGGATGAAGTAGGGTCACGATGGAGGAGGCAGGGAGGGGCCTCGAAGGGCCTCAGCTGGGCGTTTTGAAGTGCGAGGTTTTCCACCCAGCCCTCAGCGTCCAGGCTGTGGGCAGAGGTGGAGCTGCTGTCCCCCACAGTGGTGCTGTCTTCTTCCAGAAGCCCCTTTCCTCTTCCTGCTGCAGTGAAGCACGGGAGCAGGAATCATTCATCAGGAGAACGCAGAAGCCACTTGCTGGAGTCCCACCTTTGGGGATGAGCTGTTTGGGGCTCCACAATGAGAGGCAAGGCAGGAGACGAGAGAGGAGGCTCCTGCCAGCCCAAGGGCCAAGGCTGGAGCCACGTGCAAAAGGGCCAGAGAAGTGTTTGGTGGGATCACGGGCAGGAGGCTGAGATACCCACGGCCCAGTCACCGCTACAGAGGGAAGGCCTGGGGCAGAGGCAGTTGGCCACTTGCCTAGAAGACAGAACTCAGGCGCCAAGTGAAAAAGACCCCACGCAGCAGTGCCTCCCTGGCCCCCAGCAGTCTCAGATGGCCTGTCCCAGAGAGAGCCCAGGGGCCAAGAAGGCAGGGCCTATTGCTGGGATATCATGGCAAGTGCCCAGTCCAAGAAAGCCACTGTGACGTCCTGCAGGCAGAGCCAGGTCCAGCGGGCAGCCTCGCTGAGTTGTGTCTTCATGCAGTCCCAGGTCACCTCACCTCTGGGAGGGAAGCAGAACATACGCGGGGGTTGGGAAGTAGCGGTGTGCGGCTGGGCCGGGTCACAAAGCTGACACTCAGACCTACAGCCGTATCCCGGCATGGCCAAGGGATGAGCCAGGGCGGGGCAGAGTGAGAGGTCAAAGAGACAAGCCTGGAAAAAGAGCACGGGGCTGCCGGGCTCCTCCTGGAGCCCTGGGTGCGAGTCTCACCTGCACACCTCGCGGCAGTGCTGCTGGGCCCGGGCCACGGCCTCCAGCAGCGTGTGCCACAGCGGCAGCAGAACACTGTGGTGAAGAAGCAGGAGCAGCTCCCTCAGGGAACGGAGCAGCTGCATCAGGGCGTCAGGGAGCTGCAGTGTGGAGAATGAATGCGGGGGTTAGAGTGCCGGGGAACGCGCGGGGCCCTGAGGACCCAGAACACGTGGGTTCCCAAGAACGCAGCAGCCGGGGAGGCCAACCCTTCTCTGATCCCCCGGTCTCTGGCTTACGCTCTGGGAGAGGCTGGAGAGGCTGTCGCTGAAGCAGGCAAGGTGGGAGGCACAGTGGGCAGAAAGGGAGCTGACTGTGGTGTTGATGTGGGTCCAGGCCAGTTGCAAGCTGGGCCTCACCGTGGTCAGCAGGCGAGAGCCCCAGGCCGGCAACGTCTCCTCTAGCCAGCTGCAGAAGACAGGGGAGAGAACGGCTGAGCTTCCTCAGGCAGCTTGGCTCCCCAGACCCAGCTGGGGGGAGGGAGGCCTCGGAGAGGAGAAGCACGGACTGCAATGCCCTCACACACTGAACGCCCAATCCTCGTCCCTCCCCTCTGCGTCCTCCCCTCTCCCAGTGCCCCCCCCCCAAGGTGCTCACCTGTAGCCTTGCAGGCTGTAGGAGTAGATCTTGGCACATGCTTGTTGGCCAGCAGGCAAGAGACCAGATGACTGAAGCAACCGGCCAGAGAGGGAGGCTGAGTAAAGGGGGCCTCTGGTGAGCTGGGAAGTGGGGGCATGGCCAGGGACTGGGCAGACTGACAGTACAGGCTCCAAGGCAGGCCCAGTGAGGGGTGGCAAGGACCCCAGCATGTTCCTAGGGTTGCAGAGCATGCTCGGAGGGAGGGGGCGCTAGGCCCATTTCCTGCTGGGCCGGGTGGGCAGGGTCGGTGCAGCCGGGCGGAGCCCTGGACTTAGGCATCAGAAAGCCTTGGGTTTGGCGCCTGCCCTTCTACTTACCTGCTGTGATGTTAAAACTAACTGATAAACCTTTCTGAGCCTCACTTTCCCCAAGAGTTAAAAAGGAGATAACACCTACTTAAATGAGACCATGGACATGCAAGCATTTCTACACTGCACTAGTCCACTCTGAAGTGGTAACGTCACAGCTGTGGACACAAAAATCTGTCTGAAAAGTGTATGTTTTGTAGCATCAGGGTAAAGCTGTGTGCGTCGGGGACAGAGGTGCTACACCTAGCTCCCTGCCCCGCCTTCATGCTACCTCCCTTGCCTGCTTACCTTGGAAGGAGCTGTGGGACCGGAAGTCGTGGCACAGAAAGCCTGTGGCAAAGATGAGCACCAACAGGAGCAGCCGTGTCCAGGGCAGCCGGAAGCCCCGAGCCTGCTGCAACAGAGCCTGGGAGGAAGGGGGCAGGGGCAGTGGTCAGAAGGAGAGCGGCTGGTCTTGCTTCCTACGGCAGGCCTCAAGCAAGGACTTCCGGGGAGAGGGTCAAGCCCTCACGTTGTCCCAGAGGTAGTGGGGGCTCCAGAGACAGGTGGGGCAGGAACGTGATACAGGCCCAACCCAGGGTGTGCCAAGACAGAGACGAGCAACAGTGCGTGGGCTGGGGAGGGCTGGGTGCCGACACCTTGCAAACTGTGTCACAGGTGACGACATCCTGATTATTGCTGCTGCCTTTCCTTAGCAGCTCCTGGTTGGTAAGCTTGAAGGACTGAATGGTTTCTTGCAAAGACTTCTGTGCCTATAGGATAAGAAACGTCTCGGTTGAGAGCTTAAGATTTGGCCCGTGAGGGAATCCCAAGCTTTACCTTCCAGGTCAAATGTACTAACAGAGCACCTTCTGAGGGAGAGGGACAGCGGCTGGGGTACGAACCCAGAACCCAGACGAGCTCAGCCTGCCATGTCCTTCCAGCTCCTCACCTTCTTGGGAATCCGCTCCCAGGACTTGAGCAAATGCTCCAGCAGCAAGCTGTGGGGAAGCACAACCCCTTCCGATCAGGGGGCCTGCTTGGCCCTTCCCACCCTCCATTAGGCCCCTGGCTGCTTGGGGCGGCAAGACTGCCCTTCTTCCCGCCCCCTGCCCAGATGAACGGCTTCCCAGAGGCCTCCAGCAATGCTCCTCCTCAACTTGAAAGGCATGCGCCAGAACAACAGTCACAAAGGTTCCCCTTCTGCTTCTAGGACAGGGGCAGGCTAGGAGCCATGAACTAAGGCTTCTCTAAGGTAACCCCCCCACCTGCCTGGATTGTGACAGGTGCTTAGGGTACAGCTGCCTCCAGACGCTGGCACTGAGGGGGTCCACCGTCAGGCATTCGGTCAGGCTGCTCAGGAGCTGCACAGGAGATAGGAGGGAGGGGGGAGCCTGCTGGGGCCCAGTGCTGGTGCGGGGGAGCGTCCTGGGCGTAACCCCCTTCTCCTAAGCGAGACCATGCAGGCAACGCAGCCGCCTGAACCGGTAAAAAGGTGGAGAAATCATGCCCTGACCCCAGAAATCTCAGAGGCTGTAAAGGGGGAGGCTGGGGTCCTGAGCTAGACCCTGAGCTCTAAGATCGCTCGTCTGCCAGTGGGAAGACAAGAGAGACCTGCAAGTGCTGTCCTTTTGGCTTTGTTCTCCTGAGGGTAGAACATGAGCCGGCGGAGTAGGAGGCTCTCCGCGGTGAGCTGAGCAGTGTTTAGGAAGCGGGGTCCCTGGAGGCAGGGCCTTGGCCGGCAGCTGGCCCCTGGGAGGGAAAAAGGAGCCTCCCACCATTCCCTTACCTCTTTCTTCATCGCAGGAGGGCAGTTAGGGGTGGCTCTGGACAGGAAGGAGGGGAAGTAGGTATGCAGGGTGGATTCCAGCTTTGCCCCAAAGGCCAGCACCTTCAGTCGGGGGTAGAGCTGACACAGCTGCTCCTGCAGGCTGGGTGGGGGCGGGGAGGAGAGCCAGGAACAGGTTCCAAATGGGGTTGTGCACTGTGTCCCCTCTCCCTGCCTCAGAGTCCATATCCCACCCCAGGACGGGAGTCTAAGGGCCTTGTAAGGGCTCTGAATTTTTTTAGACTCAGAGACTCCCTGGAAAACCTGTTGAAACTCATGGATCCTCCCCCCGGAAAATGCCCACATGCCGATCACACTCAAGGGTCCATATAATTTCAGGGGGTTTACTGATTCCTGGAACCTGCAGGTTGAGAATCTGAGACTTAGGGTGGCTGAAGAAGGGACAGGAAGACATCACCTGCTTCTAACCCCGCGCTGGGATCCTAAATAGCAGGAGTGTCCCTACCTGGGTGACAGGGAGTTGTTGGGCATATAGGCAAAGTCCAGAAGTGGGAAGAAGTCCTTGGGGCCAATCATGCCAAAGCCCTTCGTGAGGTTGGGGTGCATCCTGTGCGGGAAGAAAGAAACAGCCTTGTTGGGACCACCCCCTAGGCCATGATCTCAGCTAAGGCCGGCATCTAGGAAAACGACATAAACTCTACCCCGTGTCTCACCCCGTAGTGGCTCCCTCCCTTTCCTTCCTCACCCTCACATTCTGAGCTGGGAGGAGCTGATCCTGACTCTCCTCACATCTATGAAGACCAGGACCCTGGCATCCCATTTTACTGAGACAGACACTTGTAGACACCTGGGCCCTTCCCTTGCTGTCCCCCCACTACTCACAGGAGCAGCCGATCCAGGTAAGCGATAGCGAAGGGGGACAGGGTCTTGACGCCTAGCACAGGCAGCATGATTCCCAGCCACACTGTGGAGACAAAGGTCAGGGAGGAGGCCTCAGGCTCAGACCCACGGAAGGCATGAGAGAGGCGCTTCCTGGCTCCAAGACCACCCCTCTCCCTTCCCCATTACCCTGTTACCTTTCAGTCCCTCGGTGAGGTTGGCAAAACCTGCTTGACCCAGGGCCCACATGATGGTCAGACACTTCGTCGGTCGATTCTGATGGGATCTCAGCAGTTCCAGGAACTGAGAAGACCAGTGGGAGAGGCAGGCGGGGATAGAGCGAAGCATCAGGAGCACCCCCAAAGCCAGGCAGGAAGAGAGCTGTCGACTGGGAGAGGAGGGACGGGCCGAGGGACAGCGGAGCGCTACGGTGGTGTGGTGCAGTCATTCACAGCACAGGCTCTGGCACCAGACTGTGGCCCTCACCAGCACTTGCCACTTACTAATTGACTGACTCTACAAAAGTAACTGAACCCCTCTGTGGCTCAGTCTCCTCTTCTATAAAATGAGAATAACAGCAGTACCTCATACATGTACAAAACACACCGTAAGTGCTAACTGCGTCAGCTATTATGACTGGTCTTACGGGGTCTTCTGCTAGCCCTTGATGGGGCCCAGCAGTGTAGATTCTGCCAAGCCCCCCGAGTCCTAGCCGCCTGGTGTCCCCACCTCCACCCTGAGCTCACCTTGCCCAGGTTCATGGTGGCAATCTTGGGCTTGTCCTGCAGAACGGCCTGGATACAGATACGGTAACCATGCAGCGACTCCCCTGCAGAGAAGCATGTTCTCAGACCCACACACAGGAATGGGCTCCCAAACCTGAAAGCTTCCTATTGGCAGCTGTGAGCCCAGAACCCAGGCCAGCAAGTCCTAACTTCCTCCTCCCTTTCCAAAAGTGTCAGGGTTGGCATGTTTCTCTCCTGGAAACCACCCAGCCGCTCTTGAGGCAGGAAAAAACGGAAGAGGCCTCCAAGATGGGGCTGGGCTATTCCTCGTGAGCCCCTTACCTGGAGTCTTATCCAGCTCTTGCAGCATGGTGAACAGACAGTGGTCAAAAAAGAACTCCAGAGACCCCGCTGCCTTTGTGAGCAGTCCTCGGATGATCCCGCGCAGCTCCCGGCTCACCAGGCTGTAGGGATAATCTGGGGCCACAGGCCTCCTTGTGAGTGCTGGGGCCAGAAGCTCCTGCCATCTGAGCACACTGTGTGCTCCCCGAAAACGGCAAGTGGAGGCAGAGGTCCCTGGCATCCTCCCTATCCCAGTAAGGCCCAGAAACATTCTCAGCCATGATGATTTGGGAACAGCTGCACCCACATAAATCAGGGCGGTGGGGCGGGGGGCTGGGGTCTGTTACTAAGTAATGTGCTTGCACATAGCCATTTCAGAGTTTTCTTGAACTTGTCTGAGCTTGAGGGAGTTGAGAGAACTAACCGTGAGTATGCTGGCTTAGTGTGGGTTCACTTGGAGGTGCTTGGAGCTTGTAGTTGAGATAGCTGGCCAGGTCCTTCAACCATATGGATGGGTTCCCCGAGAACACGTTCTGGCTCTTGTCCAGTTCCTTCTGTAGAGCTGCCACGTCCAGCTGCCAGGGACACAGGCCCCCCATCGTCAGTTGTAGGTGAGTTGTGAGTGTAATGGGGTAGAGGTAGGAAAAGGAAGAACAAAGGCTGCTGCTTTTAGACATAAGCATGTGGAATGCCGCAATTCTGCCCCACCGAGACCTTTAGAAGGTTTAGGGCAGCTGGAATGGCAACTCTCAGGGCCCAGCGCGCTTATGCCTTCACACATTCAGGGGGGAAACCAAAGCTCAAGATATAAAATGAAAAGCCACTGCTTCCATGGGGTGAGGAGCCACAAATAGTTTCTCTGACCTCTTCCTGGTAGCTCTGGGTTCCAGTCTCTCTTCTCACTAATCCATGTTTCCCCATAAACTTCGGATTTCCCTTTTTATCCTGAGAGCAAATATTCTAACCCTCGGGGTTTCCACCCTCCCCTGAACGCCTCCTCTCAACCACTGGTATCCCAGGTCCCACCGGTCCCTCAGCTGCCCATCCCCCTCCTGCTCCTTTTGTCCTCTCCACACCTCACGCCCCCCTCTTTCCCACCTGAAGTCTAGGCATACTCACAGCTTTCAGTGCCTCCTCCAGGCTGCGGAAGCGGCCCTGCTTCTGGTTCTGGGTGGGGAGGGTCTGCACCTTCTTAGTCTGCTTTTTGTTCCCCGCTTTCTTAGGCTCCACAGCAGGGGGTGGAACCTGCTCCTTATTCTGCTTCTTCAAGATTTTCTCAAAGCCCCGCTCGTAGAGGGTGCTTGTCGTCTGGATGGGAGCTGATAATAGGCAGAGAAAGGGGGTAGGGGAAGCATCCTTGGGTCATGAGGACCTCACAGGTATAGTGGTCCCTTTCCCCACACTGCCACCTAATCCATCTCCAGGGAGGAGCGGCCTCAAAGCCCCTCCTTGCTGTCCTGCTTAGGGAGCAGGCCAGGGAGCCTTGCTGGTTGCTTCTTGCAGTGATCACAGCTCTTGATTTCATGGGCTTTCACAAAGATGAGGCCTTTATTGGGACATCAGAGTGTGTGGGAACTAGCGGAGGGGTTGGAGACAGAGGGCTGGCTTCCCTGCTGGGTGGCAACTAGTCTGGGAGGTCAGGATTTTCCCATCTTGGTTCTATCCCAGGTCCTCTTGGTTCAGATGTGACAACTCCGTAATCAACAAGTGGCAAGCTTTCTCCACTCCTCCAGGAGACTTTGGGGAAACAGGCACCACTTAGAATAAGGCATGGTGGGTGCCTAGCGTGTGCAGTGGGTCATTTCTCCCAAGCTGGGCCTCCAGTCCATCCTCCCCTCACCCTTCGTGCCGGCTACTTGAGGGGCCACCCTGTACAATGAACCAGAACGCCTCTTCCCAGCTCTCAGCCACCTGCCCGGAGAGGCCAGGCGAGGGCTGGTAACGGCTGGTAGGGTGTGTGCTGTCAGCTGGGTGTCCGAAGACCGGCATCGTAGTGCCTTCTGACAGGTGATCCTGGGCAAGGCATCTAACTTCAGTGGGCCTCAGTTTACTCATCTGCGAAGCCAGGACAGCAACCTCCCTCGCGCTACCATGTGTGAGGCTCACGTGAACCAAGGCAAGGGGTGCGCTCGCTGAACCCGGAGGCACCGATCGGCAGAAGAGCTCGCGCCGGGAGGAGCCGGGGTGTTCAGCGGCTCGGTGCCCCGCAGCAGGGGCAGGCCCGGGTCCGGGCGGCGGCGCGGGCGGCGGGCCGGGTGGGTACTCACGGGTCAGGTCGTACTTCCACACTCCGTTCGCCTCCCCGAGCGCCCGGCGATCCACTCCGCCGCCTCGCCCACTGCCGCCGGCCCCAGGCCGTCGCCCCTTCTTCACCACCTCCCAGCGCCCCCCACCCGCCGTCCTGGTAGCCATGGCTCAGACCCTCCCGCAACTGGGGGCCACCTCCCTGGGCTTTCCGGTCGGTGTGGACTCGCCGCGCTTCGCCACGTCTCCTCGCAGGGCCTCGCGGTGCGTGCCGGCACCCGCAAGGCAGCCTGGGACTTGTAGTTTTTTCGTGTTTGCCAGGTTATTCCTAGCGAGGGGTCGGGTGGGCTCCTTCGCAGCAGAAAACATCCAGGCAAAGATGTTGAGTCGGGAGGCTGTTACATTCAGCAGACTGTTCTGCAGCAGCTACTGTGTGGGGTCCGTAGCACCGGGTGACTTGGAAATTTAACTGTTGCGGTTTGCTTTCCTCCTAGTGCTAGAAGGATGGAATGGACATAGTTCTTTTCACCTCCAGGAAATTGTAGATTAAATGCTTCCTTCTTTCTAGGAAATTGTTTGTCTTCTATTGCTAGTGATTAAACTTTGACTTTAATGGGCTATAAAAATCAGTGGTGAAGGAACAAGGAAGAGGATGGAGCTTGAGGAAGAGGCGGTTTTGGAAGTGTGGGGAGTGGAGAGTCCTTCTATCAGGGGGCAAGGGAAAGTCCGGGCCGGCCAGCGTTGGGTTTCCCCGTCCAGGAAAAGTGAGAGAAACAGCTCTGGCTCTGACTGCAGTCAGTCCCAAGTCCCAGGTGTGGCAAGGAAGTGATCAAAAGCTGCAGACCTGAGGAACCACTCAAACAGGCTGCTGCTCAGACATTCACTACCTGGGGAGGGCCTCTGACCATGCTGGTAGTCCCGTGTTAAGACCACAAAGCCTAGAGCATCCCAGCTGGGGAGGAAGAGGGACTGTAAAATTAAAGTGACTTATCACAGTTAAGGAAATGTGCTATTTTGTGTACATTCCTGCGTTTAAGGATGAGATTTGTACCTGCCAAAATGAGGTGCAAGGCAGGTCGGGTCTTACAGTGAGATCGAACAGGGTCCAAATTCCTACAGGATGGACATCTTAGGGAGTGACAGATTCCTTAGGAAGGAGATGAGAGAAGGCTTCCTGAAGGAGATGGCATTTGAAGTGGGTCCTGAGGAATGGGAGAATTTTCATGGGTTGGGGACCCGGACAGATGGAGAGAGCAGGCCAGGTGTGTGGATTTATTGATTTATGCAAAGGCCTAGAAGTAGGACAGTGCCTGGCAAGGCTGGGAAACTGGAAGTGGTTTTAGTGTGGGAGAGCTAAGTGGGATTTTGGAGGTGATGAGATTGGAAAGGGCCTGAGCCCACAGGCCAGGGCCTTGCCTGCCAAATTTGGACTTCATCCTCAACCGTGGTAAGGCAGGTTAGTAAGAAGCTAGGAAAATTCCTTGGCAAGTGGAATAGGGAAACAGACAGATAGCTAAAAACAAAAACAACTCCCGCCTCCAAAAACTAGCGGAGCAATTTACATAGTGGTACAGAGGGTCACCAGGGAGGAAGGCCCAGTTGCCTGGCAGGGGGTAGAACTGGGAAAACAAGGACCTTCCCCCCAGGGTAACCTCTGTTCTCCTAGCCTTTCCTCCCTAGGAATAATATCTAGGCCTCAGTTGTATTGGCTTTGCCAAAAAGTTCATTTAGTTTTTTTTGTACCATGGCTCTAGTAGCTCTTAGTTTTCTTTAACTTCATTCGAAACAGTTTTGTTGATTGTGATAACTGTCATATCAGCATGCATTTAAAAAAACATCAAAACCGGTGAATTTTTGTGCAGCCATTTTAATATTGAAGATGGAAGAAAATAGGCAATATTTTTGGCACATTGTGCTTTATTATTTCAAGAAAGGTAAAAATGCGATTGAAATGCAAAAAAAAAAAAAAACTAAAAAAGATTTGTGCAATGTGTGAAGAAAGTGCTGTGACTAATCGAATGTGTCAAAAGCAGTTAGCCAAGTTTCTTGGTACTATTGACGTTTTAGCCAAATAACTTTTTGCTCCGGGCTGTCTCATGCATTGCAAGATGTTGAGCAGCACCCCTGGCCTCTGCCCACTAGAAGCCAATAGCAGGAGATGGCCGACATACACTGAAAACGTGCCCTGGCAACGTGGCGGAGGCCAGGACCCTGAGAGGACCCACCTGGAAAGCTGATGAATATGGTCCCCGAAGATGGATATTGGGCGATGCTGAACAACTACCTTATCTGTTTGTAGTATCCACCTGGGATAATGGAGGGAAAGCCTTTTAAAATTACACATGGGGATTAAAAAATCAGTAAGATCAATAAAAGCGGGCAAGGAATTATTGGAGGAAGAGAGATAAAATATGACCAGGAGTATCTGTATATGGGGGTGGGAGTCAAAAGGAGGAGAAATGGATGAGGAATGAACAATTGCTTATTTTAGGCTCCTATCTGGAGCCGTTAGGGAAATGGTGGTGTCGGGAAGAAGCGTCATGGAGTAGGGCGGCCGAAGAGACAGCCCCAACTATATCTCAGTCATACTCAGGATGGTGAAGAAACAGCTACCAGGACTAGCCTGAACCTGGAGGAACAATCTGGAGGTGATACCTCTACGGTCTTTGGGGATGAGTAAACCATGAGTCAGGAAGTGTGGATTCTAGTCCAGGTTTTTACCACCTTGAGTGAGTCATGTCACATGTGAGCCTTGGTTCCCTCCATTGTAAATGAGGGCACCTGCCAGTGCTCTGTGAGAACGGGCCTGGAGCCCACACTCACTTCTGCGCCCTCAGCTCTTGCTGGGCTTCCAGGACCTCGGTCCCCACAGTCTCTGCCGGGTACACGCCAGGAACGCAGGGCTGTGTGGGCTCGGTGAACGGCTGCCCCATCCTGGCTCCCAAGAGACCTTGTCCTACAGAAGGAACCACACGGGCTCTGCTGTCCTCCTGGGCCGCAGGGCTCAGAGCCGCTTACTCTTTGTAACCCACTCAGCTTTTGTCTGTCAGATGAGCCCTTTTCCCCAGCTGGACCACTGTTGAGAGGCGTGCAAGCTTTGACAAGGGGTGGGGGACACCTGCAGTCTAACTGACCCAAAGGAGACTGTAACGAAAGGGCCTCTTGGTCAGGCCACCCTGTTACCCACCCCGAGTTGCTTTGCTGGGCTGCCTGCCATCACAGTCATGGCCCCAAACCTTGCTCCTCGTCAGGGACGGGGGCTGGGGCATCCACGCCTTCCCCTAGAACCCTGGCACCAGTGTTGGGAGGTGGGGACCAGGTGAGAGGAGGCGGCCGCGGCACTGTGCTGCGTGGCCATGACTTTGGAAAGGGGAGTGTGTGCTCAGGAGGAGCAGAGCATTGAGACCCAGGCTGTGGCTCAGTTGAGGGAGACATGACACTGACTTTTACCACACAAGTTTATTTAAATAAAAGTGAACATAGACGCAGGCTGGGTGGCCCGAGTGGGCGGGGGTGGGGGGGAGGCAGGTGGATGGGAGGCAGACGCACAGAAGGGTCTGAGGGGAGTCTGTGTGGTATGAACCGAGTTGCAGAGGGAGTGGCTGGGGGCCTCAGGGCAGTGCTGGCCTTCGGGGCTGGGGAAGGGGGCCCAGGGTGGGTGAATCTGGTGCCAGGAGGTCATTTTCGTCCCTCGCATGCTCCCCTCCCATTCCCTGACCACCGGGGCCTAGGCACCCCCTTCTCAGTCCCCTTATCCCTCTCCTGACATCAGCCTTCCCCTTCAGCTACTGGGGAGTCAAAAGACAAAATAAATAAGAATCGGTGAGTCCTGCCACGGCCCGGCAACAGGGAAGGGGAGCCAAGCCAAGCACACTGCCCCGGAGCCCGTGCTGTGAGCCCTGGGAAAAGAACAGGTAAAGTGCAAGGAAAATCCAGTAAGTAAAAATATACCAATGACTTTGTCAAATACACAGCTGCTGGCTGTCGGGGAGCAGGCGGCTGGCTGGGGCGGGTGGCAGGAGCACCCTGGGAAGTGTTGGCCAACACAGCTTAGAGACAACGGAAATAAATAGGGGCGGGGAAGAGGGCAGGTGTCCCGCCCACGGGGCCAGTGCCTCAGGAGGCCAGCCGCTGCCTGCCCTCCTGCCCCCTCCCCACAACCCCCCCTCCCCTGCGCCTGACTCCCCAATGCTGCGGCACTGACACAAAGCACCCGGCCGACCGGCTGTAAGGGAAGGATTATAATGTGGGGGTGGGAGAGGGGAGGGGAGGCGTGCAGTCAGCCAGGGCTAGAGCCGCCCTCAGTACTCGTCCTGGTCATCTTGTTGGTGTTCCTCAATCTCATCGTCCTCGGGGGGTGCAAATCCTTCCTGGAAGGCGGAAAGGGAGAGGGGCACGGTGAGGCAGGCAGGCGGGCTGAGGGTGCGGCCTTGCAGAGGGAAGCTGGGAGCCAGGGCCCGGGTCCTAGTCCTCCCCACCCTGTGTATGCTCTCTGTGGCCCGGGGCTTGTGGCCTCAGCTTGCTCTCCGTATCAGGCCATGCTCTCGAAGGCTCCTTCTGGTCCTGTCCCTTCTAGTCTTAGAACCCGGTGAACCGAGGCGGGCCCAGTGGGCCTGGGACAGGAGCGGGCAAAGGCAGAGCTCACCTCAGTGGCATAGAGAATGCTGATGATACCCGAGATAACGGGGCTGTTCTCGCTTTCGTGCTCTTGGCAGATGAGCTCAATGTCTCGAAGTTTGCTGAAGTAGAAGTCACGCTCCTTCTCCAGCCCATCCACTGTCAGCTTTAAGTCCAATAGCTGCTTGGGGCAAGGTGGTGTTCAAGACAGAGATCCCAGCCACAGACTCCCCTCCCCGCCCTGACACCCCAAGGGCCTGGCTGCTGAGGCAGGGGCGTCTCGGCTCCCATGCCCCCCCCCCCACTCACCTGCTGGTTGAGTTCAAGAATCTGGGCATCAGTCTCATGGCCGCCATTTCGGGCCGATGGGGGATTCTTCCGGAGGATGCAGGGTGGGGCCACGTTGCTCAGTCGGCCGGAGGTCTGCATGTTTTTGGGGCCTGTAGGGGACGTCCTCTGTGGAACTGCCCAGAGGAGAAAATTCGGATGGGGCCATGTGAGCCCGTAGCTCAGGGGCCAGGGACCAGCCTGGTGTGACGAGTGCGGGGGCAGGCCTCTGCAAAAGGCTGGCACCCTTGCCCTCCCCTCCTCTCCCACTTCGGGGGCAT